GCGCGTGCTGAATTGTATGTTGACTCATTCGTGTACAACCTATATTGGAGTAGTATATTGAAGGCATCTAAGTAAAATCTTAGACACTTTGCTGACATATAACAGTCCAAACTCTAATCACGAGCTAAGTATAAAAACTCAGAGAGAGCAGGGTGTTGGTGGCGCACCCCTTTAATCCCAGCACTCAGGAGGCAGAGGCAGGTGGATCTCCTCAAGTTCGAGGCCAGCCTGGTTTACAGAGCGAGTGCCAGGATAGTCTCCAAAGCTACATAGAGAAACCCTTTCTTGAAAAAAACAAAAAACAAAAAACAAAACAAAACAAAACAAAAAAACCTCAAACTGAATCTCTTGACTAAATATAGAACTCTAGCCTTGACCAACATTTCCACAAACTGTGTTCACAACTGATAGTTGCTGTCTCAATTTCTCAATCTGTATACGAAAGAGAGTTATACTTCCTGTTTTCAACATACCTCAGAATTGCTATGGACTTCAAAGAAAATTTCTTGTGCCATAGACCAGTATATAATTGCTGCCACCAAAAACTTTCCTAATTATTTATAACTTAAAAATGATAAAATTTAACATATCTTATAATGTTCCCTATCATTAGTGGTCTTCAGACTAATTATATAGTAAAGGGTAAGTTGAGCTAGCCATGATTAAGAGCAGCTGCCACACAGTCCTTGATGTCTCAAGGTTATAATCTTGTGGAAATTTTCTTTCACATCTTTATCTTGGAGTTGTACGAACACTCACTTCAGTCTGACTAACTAGCACTGACCTGGAATATGGCCTTGCTCATTCTGAAATGTTTGCTCTCAGGCCTGCCTAACCAAACATTATTCATTCCACTGCCCCACAGGTGGATGGTGATCTCCTACCTGGAATTTGAGCAACACACAGTCTCTAAGACCAGCTAGGAAAAAACCCCTGCTTTATTCTTAGGGGTGGAAGATATCTGAGAATTTTGCTTACCATAATTCACAAGATTTATATATAAATAGAAAGCTTTAGGTACAAAAGTTAGGACAAAACTCCTAAAGTAAAACTCCACAAGGAATTTTTGGATTCCGTGAATGTGCTTATTTGTGATTGTTCCAGTCATAATAACAATACCTCTCATTTCCTAAAGTTTTCCTGGACCCTTTGTTGTTTGTTTTTGGAAAGGGTCTCATGTAGCCCAGACTGGCCTTCAACTCACTATGTTGTAGAAGATGGCCTTGAACTTCTAATTCTTCTATTGCCATCTCCACAGTTCTGGGATTGCAGGCATGGGCCACCATACTTCATTTATTCGGTACTCTAGGTCAAACTCAGGATCTCACGTTTGTCACGTAAGTGCTCTGCCAACTGAGAAACATCCTTTGCCCTCCTGGACTCTTGTATAAACTATTTCACTGATTCTCATACAAAGTCTATGAAGGTTGTGGCATCATCACATTTTTACTTTAGAGAGAGAAAAAGCCATTTATGAGATCTTTATCTTGGTCAAACTGTAAAGTAGGATTGTAGTTTGAACACCAGTGATTCTGAATTTTTGTTCTTTGTGCTATTTAACCTATCTGAATGGTGTCTAGTTTGGGAAGCTGAAGGTGGTAATGTTGGTCTGCGCCCAGGCTCTGGAAGGCATTGAAGAAAACAAGTACTAACAAGTATCAAGAAAGTTGTTAGAGGGTGCTCGTGAATGTGGGGAGAGCAGTAGTGGATGCTGATGGAGATGAAGGGGAGCAAAGGACTGTGGAAAATACTAATCAGAGGAAGGAGCCTCATTTGAGGAAATGCTTCTATGAGACCCAGCTGTAAGGCATTTTCTCAATTAATGATCAGTGGGGGGGGAGGGCATTATGGTGGCTGGTGCTATCCTTTATAGCTGCTGGTGCTATAAGAAGGTGGGTTGAGCAAGCTAGGTGAAGCAAGCCAGTAAGCAGCTCCTCTCCATGGCCTCTGCACCATGCTCCTGCTTCAGGAATCCTGACGTGGTCCTGTCCTGACTTCTTCAGTGATGAACACCAATGCTGAAATGTAAGCCTAATAAACACTTTCCTCCCCAACTTACCTTTTGGTTATGGTGTTTTGTTACAGCAGTAGAAACCCTAACACACCTTTCCAAACAGTTCCACCAATTGGGTACTAATTATTCAAATCTATGAGCCTATGCAGAGGGCATTCTCATTCAAACCACAACAGTATGGACAAAATTTTTTACATTAGTGTTTTTTAAATTTATTTTTTATGTATATGAGAGTTTTGCCTGTATGTATGTCTGCAAGCCACTTGCATGCAGTGCCAGTAGAAATCAGAAGTGGGTATTGGAGCCCCTGGAACTGGAGTTATAGATGACTATGAGCTGCCAGGAGGATGCTGGATCCTCTCAAAGAGCAGCCAGTGCTCTTAGTCATTTCTCTAGCCCCTTTACATTAGTTTTGATGAATTTCAATAAGGAAAGAGTATTTCTGGAGAGCTAATGACTTATTAAGTCACTGATGGTCAGACCTATTAACAGTTATGTGACTCAGCCTGATTATTGGGTATGCAAACAGTGCAGTTGCCCAGGGCCCTACTCTCAGAAGCACTTTGTGTTGGTGCTTACTGTCTTTATTTTAAATTTTATCTTCTAGTCTGTCATATAGAAAAAAGTTCTAATGGGACAATTGAGCCTTCTGTCACTTATCTTGGATAGGTTTTCAGCTGCTGGCTCACCGTCCTTTGGTCCTGCCCAGTCTCCATTTCCCTGATTTGGCCCAGTCATCATTGCCATCTATCTGCCCTACCTTGGTCAAGGTTCATTGTGTACTCCCTCCAATGTCTAGGGATGAAGCACAAGAGTAGCCGTTCCCAAACGGTAGTAATGCCTCAGCATGTCTGAAGATGGATTCAATGGGGGTAAATTATTGAGTGTGTCTCAGTATATGTTTTAATACCCTTGAAGATCACTCATTTGCTGTGGGCTGAAGGAAGCGAGCCTATGGGAAATGGGAAATGCCTGCCTTGAATTCTTCCTAGCAGCTAGCGGAAGAATTATAAGTTAGTGGAATGCAAGGGTCCCCAAATTCTGGGAAGGTTTGTAGTTAACCCAAAGCTATTCCTCTGTCCAGGAGATAGATCATTAATAAGTAAAACACAGTGATGAGTTGAGAGATTCTGCAGAAAGAGGTCTGAAGTTGAATGGTCTAGGGAGTTCTTATCAAAAGGCAAGTAGAATGGACTTGTGTCAGTTGGAGACACAGCCTCTTCAAGTGTGGGTGAACCTCGGTGTGTACTTACACATTTTTCTCAAATTTCTCAGGTTATTCATTAAGGTGGTTCTGTTTGTTTTGTTTTTGAGACAGGGTCTCATGTAGCTCAGGCTGGCATCAAACTTGGTAGGTACTGAGGAAGACCTTGAACTTCTGATCCTCTTGTTTCTGTCTCCTGGGTGCTAAGGTTATAAGTGTACACAACCATATCACATCTGGTTTATGTGATGTTAGGATTGACCCAAAGCTTTGTGTATGACAAACAAGTATTCTTTACCAACTGAGCTCATCCCTGACTCAAGAGAAAGTTCAATTCTTGACAACATACACAGCCAAGACAGGGGCATATACTGCTAGACAAAAATAGTTTTAAAAGCTGGGCAAGACAACATGTGACTTGGCCTTCTGCAAAATGTGAGATCCTGAGAAAGTTTTCTTTGACTTGATCTTTTATTTGAAGGCATTAATAAAAATGTTTCCTTTCAGAATGAGGAAGCTTAGACAAGAGAATTTGAGGTTAGGAACACATGCAGATTCTTAAATGTGGTGTAGGGGTTGGGCAATTTGGCCCTATTTATCACCTTGTAAAACATACATAATTTTGCATTTTGTATCATCTTTTATTTTCTTTTTGAGATGGGGTCTTGTTGGTCATGTTGCCCAGACTGGCTTGGAACTCATTTCTCAAATGACCCTCTTACCCCTGCCTCTGAGTGCTGCTGGAGCTACATGCTCACCATAATCCAAAAAGAGACACACTAGATTCTCACCATAATCCCCCCCCAAAAAAAAGACCCCCCCCAACCTGGAGGCTCTTGTAGCCCAGGCTGGCCTCAAACTTGCTCTGTGGCTTAGGATGACCTTGCATGCCTAATTCACCTCCTTAGTGCTGGTATACAGGGCGCTCTATCACGTCTGATTTTATGTAGTGCTGGGAATCAACCTAGGGCTTTGTGTATGCCAGGCAAACACTTTACCAACAGAACCAAATCAAAGTTGATCTACAGGAATGGAAACACCGCCGTCACTAAAACAGAACCAGGTAGAACTCTATTTCTCCAAAGTGAAAGATTACCAGGTAATTTTCATTATATCTCTAGTTCCAAGAAAACGTTCTCATTCATTTAGAAAATGTATACTTGCAAGTGAATGCGTACACGTAAGTCTAGAAAATGCCACACATTGTGACACTGTCATAAACGACTGTGAATATCCGAGGGCCGTGTAAGTCACTGGGCACTCACGTTTCTTGGTGTAGTTTGGTTGTCTGGACCTTTTACGTTCTCCAGAACCACTGGGAGGAGACAGAAGAGTGTTTTGTCTTGTGAAGGAAAAGTTGAGCACTCTTGGGGGGAGACCTGAGGAGAGCGGGGTCTTCTCAGACTCCAGCACAGCCTGAGGTGAGGAGATAACGCCCTACTGAGGTGATCCTGCGGAGGGGCGGAGCTCCGCCACTCAGAGGCGGGAGGCGGCCCCGAGGGGCGGGGCCAGTGGACTGCAGCCGCGCGCTCCGCTCCCACCATGCCCTTATAAGGAGCGCCCCGCGAGAGGGTTCGGGAATCCGGTCGCAATCCCTGAGGCGCAGCCCCAATCCCCGGCCCCTCCCTTGGGAATGGGGGCGGGGCGGAACTCTGGCGGCGCGGCCTTGGGGGCCGAGCTTCTTGAAGGAAAACCAATAGGAACCGCAGCCTGGGCCCGAGCCGCGTTGCCATTGGGCGCGGCGACGTGAGAGGGCGGGGCGCCCGTGGGGCTGGTTACGCCGAGGGAAGCCCGGACTCTAGTCGCCGCTCGGAGTCAGTCTCTCGCTGCCGGCTCCCGGCTCCGCCGATCCCAGTTTCCCGTCGCCCGCGGTTCGCCGCCCCGCTAGACGCCGCGATGCCGGTGTTTCACACACGCACGATCGAGAGCATCCTGGAGCCGGTGGCGCAGCAGATCTCCCACCTGGTGATTATGCACGAGGAGGGCGAGGTGGACGGCAAAGCCATTCCTGACCTCACCGCGCCCGTGGCCGCCGTGCAAGCGGCAGTCAGCAACCTCGTCCGGGTGAGCGCGCCGGGCCTGGGACTGGAGCGCGGGCGGGAGACGTCCCCAGGGTCCCGGTCCGCCTAGTTGCTTGCATTCGTAGGCTACCTTGCTTGTGGCTCTACGAAGGGTGGGCTCCAGGGCAGGTACCGTGGTTTCGAACGCTGATTTCTCTATGCTGTGACCTTGAGCAAGTAACTGAGACTGTCGGGGCCTCAGTTTCCTCATCTATAAAATGGTGCAGTCATCAGAAATCCTGCCTTGGGGCTGTGTTGTGAAGAGTCAGCGAGGTTTTATTCGTAAAGTGCCTAGCTTGTGTGCCCCTAGTAGGCTCCCAAGAAGTGATAGTTGTTAGTAGTCTGTTCCTCCCCTGGGCAGGCTCACGTCCCTCGAGTTGACTACCTTGCTCTCAGCCTCTTTTTAGGCCTCTCCTATCCAGCCTGTAGGTGGGTTCTCTTAGGGACTCATTGCCTTTCCTTCCAAGGATTCTCATTTGCACCTGGCCACCCGCCGTTCTAACACTTCTGTCCTGGTGAGACCCACCTGCTCAGCCCTCCCCAGGGCTCCTGGTGTCTGCCTGCTCCCCGCCACCAACTTCGCTTCCTCCTGTCTCTGCTGCCTCCTCCTTCCCTCCGGGGCATTTCGCTCACACCTCCAGCACTGAAACACCTTTATGTTGTAATTCATAACCAGGAGTCCTGCGTTTCTTCCTGCCTGACCCGTAGCCATTTATTTTATTCCTCCCAGCTTTACCTGCTGTCAAACGCCTTCCTCGCACTGGGGCCTTTCCAGATTCTGGGTGTATGTGGGGCTCCTCCTCTACCCTTCCTTCTGGCAGGAAGCAAGATGGAGCTGCTGCGAGAGGCCTGTGGAATCTGGAATCTGCAGCCCCTGCCTGAGGGAAGCCTGGGACGTCCTTTCCCAGTCCACACTTTCCTGCGGGCCACCAGCAATTCACTGATCATTGTAGCCCGCAGTTGTAATAACTGAGGTGCAGTTCAGTTCCGAAATGGGAAAAGAGATGTAGAGACTAGTCCCTTAACTGCTCCCTGGCTAATGTCACACTTGCTCAAGGCTGGGTGTGACTCAGACTGCTGTTGCCTGTGAAGAACAACTCAGGAAAAGTTCATACTGCTTCCGAACTGAGCTATATAAATGGTGTGTTGGGGTAGTTGATAGGTTAACTGTCAGTCGGGTGGGGCTTGGGTTATTTATCTGATTGCAGGACTTTAGTGCACTTAACGTCTTCCTGGGCCTTCAGAGGCCTGGGACTGTCTCGAGCATTTCAGGAGACTGGTAGAAGCTGGGGTTGGGAGCGAGGGGCGGCGGCGCGGAGGGGGTGGGGGGGTCAGCCAGGCCCTACATCTTAAAGCAGCTACAGTTTATTAAAAGAACACTACCCGCCAGGAACCACGTATCAAACCACCAGTTTGTAGAGGATAAAAATACAAGGAACAAATTACAATGAAAGTGCATGTCAAGATATGGACAAGTCATAGATATTAAAAAGATTAATATTGGCCAGGTGTGGCTGTGCACACCGTTAATGCTGAGCACTTGGGGGCAGAGGGAGGGGGGGGGGTGGGGGGTGGGGGGGAGCTGGGGGAAGGGGCAAGAGGAGTGATAGATCTCAGATCTAATTCCTGGTCTTCTGTACAGATTAAGGAAGGAACTATTGAGTAGGAGCACTGTATTCATTCAGACTGTCTATCTCATTCTTGTTCTTATTGTAACTAATTTTAATCTCAGGCCCAGAGTACATTCTTATGTAGTGTTGTCTGACATGGCTGCATTCCAGGCCTCCGGTTTTTCAACAAATGGGAAACAATGTAAAGAGACAAGGTAATGGTGTCCCTCCATGTAGTACTTGAGGGAACGAATCACAAAACCACATGTTGCACTTGGAACACAGCTAGTGTAATCGAGGGGTTGATAGCTGGTTAGGCTATTTAGAGAAAAGTTATTTATGAGCTTCCATGCCATGAATTAATAAGCGTTGAATGTATGTTGTATAAAGCGCATGGTAATAAATCAATGGCTCTCAAGGTGTGCATGAGAATAACCAGTGGGGCTTTTTAGGTACAAAGATGTCTGGTTCCCATCCCAGACTTACTGAAGGCTCTTCAAGGATAAGGTTTTTGTATTTTTATTTTTAGAGAAGCTCTATAGGTAGTTATGTTGGCCATAGTCATGAGACATAAAGAAAACAAGGGCAAATATACGATGAAAAAATTACATGCAGTTAACATACTTCCCAATACCCACAAAAGGTATTTGAAGTTGAATTAGAAAGGAAAGTTGAAAAGGATTGGGCTGATAAACAGTCATAAGCAAAAGTACTGTCAGGTTTCACTACGTAGATTGTCTTGATTGTAGATCAGGAGGCAAGTTGGAGAGAAATTGGACTTGAAGCAGCGCATGGGATATAGGTAGCTTAACATAAGGTCTTATCCAACGAGATGCACAAATGGGTGGGAGGATGAAGGGGAGAATGGTGTGTGAGGAAGGACACATGGGTTCTAGGTTGGCCAGAGGACCCGTCTATTGTTTTGAATTCTTTTTTTAAAAGATTTATTTATTTATTATGTAGTCAGAATTCTGCTTGCATGTATCTCTGCAGGCCAGAAGACGGTACCAGATCTCATTATAGATGGCTGTGAGCCTCCATATGGTTGCTGGAATTGAAATCAGGTCCTCTGAAAGAGCAGTCAATGCTCTTAATCTCTGAGCCATCTCTCCAGCACCTTGTTTTGAATTCTTAATGCCTAATGCCACTGTTTTTCTTTTTCCCCTTCCTTCCTTCCTTCCTTCCTTCCTTCCTTCCTTCCTTCCTTCCTTCCTTCCTTGCCCATCCCCCCCCCCCTTTCTGACTCTCTTTTTGGTTTTTTTGAGACAGGGTTTCTCTGTGTAGCCCTGGCTGTCCTGAACTCACTCTGTAGAGCAGGCTGGCCTCAAACTCAGAGAGATCTCCCTGCCTCTGCTTCCTCAGTACTGGGATTAAAGACGTGTACCACTGTCTCCTAGCTCAACTGCTTTTCTTAAATGTGTGGATCCTGTACATATCTCAGTTTTCTAATTCCTCTGAAAAACACAATCTAAGTAGAAACATTTTTCTGCTCTCCAGTTCCAGCCCTCAGCATTGACACACAGGTGGCTCAATAAACAGAGGGTTAAAAGAAGAGAAACTTGTGAAGAGATGAGTTAGAAGGCTTATAAGGCTTGAAGAAATTAAAGCTTAGGCTCCAGATGCTGCATGAGATGGAAAAGGAATTAATTTAAAAAGTAGTAGAAAAATAATAATAACTGTTGTAGAACTCTGAACTTGCAAAACTCAGGCTGTTTCTATAAAATGATGATCAAATATTTTGAAATCCATATGATCAGTGTGTACCTCAGAAATGACTTTGGGGTTATGAGTAAACAGGCATTCCTCTAGCCCAGCTACTTGGCGCATCCCCTGTGGTCTAAGACAGGGCTTCTTATGCTCTTCCTACTGGAGACTCCTTCTGGCCTGAGACGTTTTTTTATTCAGCCACATATATATATATATATATATATATATATATATATATATATATATATATATATATATATATATATATATATATATATATATATATATATATATATATAGGCATGTAAAACAAACATTCACTAATAAAAATCATAAGTTTATTTTAAGACATTTCTTTGGTATAGATAGAATTTTACTGTTAATAAAAGATGCAAGTAAATTTGCCTATTAATAAGATAGTTTTGCTTGTTTATTTATATGTAAAAAAGAATTGAATCTTGGCTGAATACTCGATACTTCAGCAATACAGAGCGTCTTCAGTGTTTCTCAGAGTTGGTGTGTATTTTGATTTTATAATCGGCAATTCTGAGTATGTAGTACAAAGTAGCAGAACTATGTATAAGGGCCATTTTGGAAATTGTTGGAAATCCTGACCTAGTCCCAAGCCAAAATTCCATGTAATGATTTTCTTTTTTATGCAACTTGTCAGCAACTTAGACAGCATTTAAAAAAAAATCAGACACCTGAATATAATACAATCTAAAGGCATATTGATATTTACATGCTTGGGAATGATGGTAAGAAAATATTAGAAGTCTTTGCTTTCTATAATTAAACCATTGTATTTCTAGAAGTGTAAAAAGCCTTGTGTGTGCAGTAGAAATACTGCATTTCATAACTAATGGTAGTTCTGAATCTGAGTGGAGCTGTTTCACATAAGGCCATGCACAGTACAAAATGTGCATATTGTATGTTCAGAACCAAAGCTAAGATGAGGTTGCTCCATGCATCATGGCCAATCTGAGACCAGAAGCAATTCCAATTTATTTCATGTTTGATTAGAATGAATTTTCAGTTATTGTGGGTTGAGGAATCTTTTACTGGTGCCACATATTTTACCCTTTCAACATTCCAATTATGTGACCCTATGAGATCATGTTTAAGAAGCTAGTGTCTAAATGACTTCTGGATATTTCTAAAGTTAAAGCTTATTGGAGGAAAGTGAAATTCTCATTTGCTGAACATGGTCATTCACTTACAAAACAGAAAGTTATTGGAATCCTATATGAATGTGAAAGCAATTAAGATCAATGCTGAATAAGTGATAATAGATGGAAAATCAAAGGTGGTGTTCAGGAAGTAAAACACTGGAAATTCAGAGGATGGAGAGAGAGATGACTCCATGGGAGAACGCAGAAGGTTTTGTGGATGATACATTTGAGATGATCAATCAAGATAGAGAGTTGGAACATTTAGTAAATGTTTTACAAATTGAAGAAACTACCTAGGCAAAGGTGCAGAATTTTCAAGCATCTGAAAAGCAAGTTCCAGTTTGAACTGCTTTTGGGGGAGCAGGACTCAATTGGATTTGGAGTTCTTGTATCTCTCTCTCTCTCTCTCTCTCTCTCTCTCTCTCTCTCTCTCTCTCTCTCTCTCTGGTCTTACTATGTAGTTACTATGTATGTAGCTCTGCCTGCCTCTCCCTCCCCAATACCAACTGGAATTA